ACAGAAAGCTCTATACATTATTTTTTATGTTGAAAATAATGTGTATTCTGCAGCTGTGGGATGAAATGTTCTATAGTTATCAACTAGGTCCATTTGGTTCATACCATAGATTAGCTCTGTTGTTTCTTTGTAGATTATTTTGTCAAGATATTCTGTCTGTTGATGAAAGTGAGGTGTTGCAATCCAACACTATTATTGTACTGGAGTCTATCTCTCCTTCAGATCCATTAACATTTGTTTTAAGCAGCCATGTGCCCTGGCATTTGGTGTATACACATTTACTATAGTCACACCTTCTTGTTATATTGATCTCTTAATCATTACATAATGTCCTCTTTGTCTCATTTTTTTTGACAGGCTTTGTCTCTTTTAACAGTTTTTGTGTTAGAGTCTGACATTAGGATGCCTAGTCCTGCATGTTCTTGCTTTCTGTTATCATGGAATACCTTTTTGCATACTTTCACTTTTCATCTGTGTGTATCTTTTTGGTGAGATGTGCTTCTTGTGGCTAGTAAACATATGGGTCTTGTTTTTTTCATCCATTCAGTCTGCATTTTATAAAGAGGGAATTTATTGGGGTTTTTTTTCATCCATTTAGTCTGTATTTTATAAAGAAAGAATTTAGGACATTTACATTCAAGGTTTTTAATGATAAGTGCTGACTTGGGACTGCCATCATAAATATTCCTATTGCTTGCTTTGAATTTCCTTTGTACTTTTATTAGGAGATTTTCTGACTTCACATTCTTTATAGTGATGACCATGTTTCTGTGTTTCTGTGTGTAGCACATCCTTAAGCACCTTTTTTAAGGCTGGATGAGTGGTGATAAATTATTTAAATTTCTGTTTGTTATATAAGGCCTTTATTTCACCTTCATTCATAAGTGAGGGCTTTCCAGGGTACAGTATTCTCTGTTGACAATTTTTTTTTCTATGAAGGCTTGGACTAATCTCAACATTCTTTCCCAGCATGTAGGGTTTCTGATGAGAAGTCAGCTATGATTTTAACTGGAGATCCTTTGATTTTAGGATCTTTATGTTGTGCTTTTGAAAATTTGACTACAGTGTGTGGTGGTAAAGATCTTTTTTGGATTGTGTCTATTAGAAGTTCTATGTGTTTTCTGTACTTGGATATCCCTATCTTTCTCCAAGTCCCCAAAATTTTCTGCCATTATTTCACAGAATAGGTCTTATAATCCATTCTTTCTTTCCACACTTTCAGAAACGCCTAAGACTCATGTGTTAGGCCATTTGATATTATCCCTTAAATCTAAAACACTATTTTTTCTACCTCTCTCTCTTTTTTTTTTTTTTTTGTCTGCCAAATATTTCCAAAGATTTGTCTTCTGACTTGGATATTGTTTCTTCTGCCTCTGTAAACCTGTTATTAAGGTTTTCCAATGTAGATTTTCTTGGACATACTGAATTCATTTCTTCTTTTAAAAGATTTATTTATTTATTTGAAAGAGTTTCACAGAGAAAGAAGAGGCAGAGAGAGAGAGAGAGAGAGAGAGAGAGAGAGAAGTCTTCCATCCACTGGTTCACTCCCAAACTGGCCACAACAATTGGAACTGCACTCATCTGAAGCCAGGAACCAGGAGCTTCTTCTGGGTCTCCCACATGGGTGCAGGCACCCAAGGTCTTGGGCCATCTTGTGCTGCTTTCCCAGGTCATAGCAGAGAGCTGGATCAGAAGAGGAGCAGCCGGGACTCAAACCAATGCCAATATAGGATGTCAGCACTGCAGGTGGAGGCTTTACACCACAGCACCAGCTCCAGATTGTTCATTTCTAATATTTCAATTTGATTTCTCTTAAATATCTCTATCTCTTTGCAAAATTTTTCATCCATGTCATTTAGAGATTCCTTTAACTCAGGTATTTGCTTCTCTGGGTTTTTGAGTGACCTTATGGTCGTTTTTTAAATTCCATTTCATCAATATCTTCATTTTTACTTCCTAATGCTGCAGTGTTGTGCTCCTTTTGGAGAATCATATTGTCTTCCTTGTTTATGTTTCATGTATTCCTACTTTTCTTTTAGGTACATGTGGAAACACTTGTACATCTTTTGTTTATACCTTTGAAATATGCTTCTGTGGTTTAATGAAGTGTCTGCTCCTTCAGATGATATCCAGAGGCATGTGATGGGTAGGGCCAGGGCTCTCCATTCAGTGCTCACGTGTGATGCAAGAGTCTAGGGTTACACCCAAGCTGGGTGCAGTAAATCTCCTCTGTTGACAGCAGAGTGGAAGGTATGATCATGTCAAATGGCATGATCACAGTCTCACCTTCTCTGACAAGGTAATCAAAGCCTGGGGTGAGCCCACAGTGGCTACACACCCCAATCATGTAGGTTCATGAACCACACAAAGGATCCACACAGTCCTCTGAGCATGGAACTCTTTGCAATGAACTGCCCCCAGGCACTCGGAACTCTGAGCTGCTGAAGCCAGAAACAGTGACTGCCAAAAAAAATCCAGCCACACCCAATACCCTATCCCACAGCCACAGAACTTCCACAGTCTCAGAGCTCAGGTACCACACAGTTACAGGGAGCAGTTGATCCACTCTCAGTCTGCAAGCCTGCCCCATCCACAGAAATAGCAAATGTGTTTTCCGAGTCTGGTGCCTGTCAGTGCTCCATATTGGCAGCTCAATTCCAGGTGCCTGTGATAGAGCGTGGAGAGGGGAGCACTTCACAGGCCTACGTTTCACCACCCCTCCTACCAACCCTCCAGACCAGACTCTGTCAGCGGGGACCACAGATTTACACTTCTAATAACACCCCCTAGTCCTATGCACATGATAGATAGTCACAACTGCCTCTATGTGCCTTGTTAAGATAATGTTTCCCCTGCTAGTCACCTGGTGAACTTCTAGGAGGTATGGCAGATAATGAGGTGCTGTTCTTTCATGGCGTTAGGTGGGCACCCTGTTATATATTAATGTTAGGCTGTCACGAAACACACCGAACACCGGAATAAGGGAAAGGGGTTATTGGGGAACATCCAACAGACCGGAGTGAAGGGGCGGTGAAGGAAAAAGAGGGAGAAAGAGAGTATAAGAAAGAAACAGAGAGGAGAGGAGCTAGCAAGGAGTGAAGAGAGATGAGAGGAGCCGAGAGAGCCAAGAGACCAAAGGAGGAGGCTAGAGAGAGCAACCAAGAGAGCACAAGAGAGAAGGGCCAAGAGAGCACGTGTTCAGGAACAGGCCCTTTTAAAACTTTGCCCGAGGGCGGGCAGGGAAGCAGGAGCGGTAAATCCCATTAGGATGGGGTTGGAGCCTGGCTCAGGTAGCTGGGCCATGTGGCCACCTGGCTAAAACTGTGCCAGTTTCCTAACAGACCCTTTCATCCAGCAGCACTCCAAGCCATACTCAAAGCAGTGTAGTCTGCAATGTTTTCCCCCAGGCAGTGTTACCAGTGACATGGTCTGCTGCAGATTCCTCTCACCTTGCTCTAAGAGGACCTGAATTCAATTTTCATTCTCCAAAATATATAGGTATCATTTCTACAAAATATAGCTAATATAAATCTGAGCTGTTTTTTATCTCAAATACCCCTGTCTCCTCTAATACCTTAATGAAATATCTTCAGTACCTCTCCAAGCAGCTCGTCTCCTCCGATGTTTTTCTCACTATAGCACAAGAATATTAAAGGTGATTTGGTCTTTAAATCTTAAGCCATAGAAAATGAAACACAGCCTTTAATTTTAGCATATCGTTTCTTTATATATCATCCAAATGACTGTATATCTGGTCTACCAAATAAAGTACCAGAAAAGAAAACTGGTTTATCGAAATAGAAAAATTTTCTATTTTAAACCATATAAAGGCCTTGGTGTAGAGTTTAACAGAAAGGAATCAAAGCACTTAATTTTTCAAATTTTTCAAATCCCTTAATTTTAAAAAGTGAACATTAATAAATGCAAGGAAACACTGTCATTTTCTCAAAGTCCTACAGCTACTCAGCTTGCTTGCTTGCTTGAATGTTTATTTTGAAAGGCAGAGTGACAGAGAAAGAAGGAGACAAGGAGAGACAAAAATAGGGGGGCCTTCCATATGCTAATTAATTCCTCAAAATGCTCACAGAAGCAAGGGCTGAGCTAAGTCAAAGCCCAGAGCTAGGAATTCCGTCTGGGTCTTCCACCTGGGTGGCAGGAACTTAAGTACTTGGCCCATCATCTAACACCTCCCTGGTGTATTAGCAGGAAGCTGGATGGGAAGCGCAGCATAGCCAGTGCTCCAGTGTAGGAGTGAGTAGCTTGCTGTGCCACAAACCAGCCCCCAGCTTCTCATTGATGCCATATTTTGGAGGAAATTTAATATCCAGAAGCCCAATTTCCCTTTCACACACTCCCACTCTCCTCTTCCCTTAGACCCTGAACTCTGAGGAAATAGTGTCTGCTTGCTGGCATTGCATTCCTTCAGTTGCTATTGCCAGTGACTCCTGGCAACACCTTACTTCATAGCTTTTCCCTCCATGTCCCACCTCTGAAATTTCATGAATGAACCTCTTTCCAGGCAACCCTCCCAGCACCCTCTGACTTTAAAAGGATACTTAAATCCCTGTTTAAGCCATGGATTATTCCTGGGATTTCATGTAAATTGTAGCATGGTTGAGGACAGGTGGAGCACACCATCAAGTGTCCATCTGCTTGCCAGGCTCAAGATAATTTTGGAAAAAAAGCAACAGTTCTTTAAAGGAAAATAAGGCAGCAAGTATGGCCAGGTAATAAGCCTGCAGTCATCAAAGAAAAGAGGAAATTATGATCATACTTAAATTTACCCCAGCCATGATCACCACAGAATTTAAAACCTACACAGACTGAAAGCTAAAATAACGGCTTTGAACCAATAAATAGAATACTTGGGCACCATGAGAGTAACACAAACACAAAAGCAAGAAGACTGAAGACCTTGCACATCAGTACTGCAACCTGCCATGGCACTAACAATGAGAAGACACACTGCTGATGGCTCAGGGAGAGGACCCGGAGCATACCGCTGGCGTTGGCGCTCATGTTGGACATCAACCACAAAGGCAATAGACAGCCTGACCAGCAGGCCCCACCAACAGGATCTATAAGAGCAGATTATACTGCTTAATAACCGAGAGCACTTGGCTCACAGACAAACATAAAAAGCTTACTGGGTTAGATGTCAGGAGTCCTGGAGATTCCGTAAGAGCAAGCCGGACTAACACCTAGAACACCACTATAGATTATTTTCCCTGGGGCTCTGGGCCTGAGGAAATATGTTACAGTCCGATTTCTGGCTTATTGTTCTGAGCAATCTAAATTAGTATTTTTAAATGCTTACAATTCTTGCATTCAGGCAATTCTTTGTCCCTCCTGTTTTCTACTTTCATCCCATTTATTTCTGATCAATCATAAAATTAACATTTATAGAGTTAATAATTTTAATGTATATAAAGTACCTCTTGACTGATGGAAAGAATTAAAGAGGACATGGAACTACAATACGTGTTCATTATGGAAGACTGTCATACATTAAACACTCTATCAGTCATTAATACTTTGCGTCTTCTGAAATCCCTGCTGAATTTCAGACAGATTGAGTGCATGACTCAGTTCTATTCTCAAACTCCATTGTGGACATATTAGCAGAAAAAAGGAATTTTTCAGCTATTAAATAAATACCTTCCTTCTTTGTTTCAAGAAATTCCTGGAAACCAGTCATCTGAAAAAAAGTTTACACATCCAGGCAACATCTCTCCTAGTGGGAAAGTGTATTGTTCACCTAGGCAAACAACTTATTAATGTCACAAAAGCTTATTAAGGCTGGACTCAGGACCTTCAACTCAGTCTGCCTACCAATCCTGAATTATTATTTCACAAATTTTCTGTCCAATCCTAATCAGTTCTCTTCTTCATCAATCCCATCACAAATTCTTAGAATAGACCCAAAGGTGTTTAAACACTAGTTTCTGATGTGTCACTTTTGAGAAATTAGTGAGAATCTGTCAATATAGTGCCCTTTCTTTCTGCATTGCATCCAATAAAATTAGCCTGATATGTGATATTGACATGTTTTTGTTTTCACTTTAGGAGTCAGCAGTTGACAGTCTTGGAAATGTCACTGAGATATGGTTGAAACCCTACTGGCTTTACCATTATTGTCATTACAGCTAAAGACCTTTGGCTCTTCTCTTAAGACTGTAAAATTCCCACTCAAGCCTTGAGTTGGACCTGAGCTGTTATTTATTTTCTTTGAGCTCCTACATTTAGACTTTATTTTTTCTCTGAAATGAAGAACCACCTTTAGAAATTTTTTGATTAACTTCTTAAGTTTTAAAATATTTGTTTTTGGTAGACATCTGTTTAGTTGTTCATAACAACATTGGTTGTCTCTGCCTATTGTCATTACCTTTTGTGGTCAATCTATGTGAGGAGGTTCAAAGCAAAGAGAATAGATGGTAAGCAGTGAATCCATCTGTCAAGCAAACCTCAGTAGTTCATAAAGTGAGAGCAGATTATCCACAATGGTGACTTCATAGGACAAACATATCAATATCTTGTAGGAACTTTCTTCAGTCTTGTCTTGTTATAGATAATATTGTTTGAAAGAGATCTCTTCTCAAAGTGTGCCATCTACAAAGAAAGACAGATTCCTTAGTCTCCAGTTAGTCCCTCCAATATAGCAATTAAGTTGAGGGGTCCAACTTACAATGCAACAGCATGTATCCCCACATCTAACTGGTAGAGACTTAAGAGTTTATATCAAGGTAAATTGACAACCCCTCTGAGCCAGATTCCAGTATCTTGCATGGTTTTGCCCTATAAATCAAATCTCAGTGCTTATCTCTCCAAATGGAATAAATGAACCAAAGATAATCAAGAATTACAATGGAGAGACATGGAATTAATCTAGTGGCTAGATGCCCACAATCCCTTATCAGAGTATTTGAGTCCAGTTCAGGCTTGCACTAGATCTGCGCTGCTGTTGGTTCTTTAGTGCTTCTCTTTACCATCACATTTTCTGGATCTGGGGACTTGTCAGCCTCCATAACCATCTAAGCCAATCCTTAAGAAAAGATATTTTGTCTCTGTAATATGTTCATCTGATTGGTCTATTTTTCTGAAGAGCCCTAACTAATACAACTCTATCTAAATAGTTATTTTTCTGAACTTCTCCAAATTACAAATGGATTTTGTTCTCTTGATTTGATATACTCGGAGCTTCTGGATTAGAAATAGACTACAAACTCTGGTTATACACATCCTCTTAGTATTTACACATACTCCTCAATAGTGATTGCTAGAGGCTTAAATGTCATTGCACTGCTCCTGATTCTTCAAATAACTCTAAAAAATAATCACCCAAGGGGAACAATGGGAAACTATGCATATTTTTAAGATTGCAATCACCATCACCAAACAGTTGTTACATAATCACTGCACCTTAATCAGTGGTCCAAGAATATTTTGATCACTTCCTCAACACAGGCTAAAAAAAAAAAACAAAACAAAACAACAACAAAAAATCCTGGGAGGGTTTGGGTATGAAATAGGAATCAAGACTATATTCATTCAGAGTTTTAGGACAAAGTCTGAGGCCACCTATGACAACTAGGACTTAACTATATTTTCTGGGAAAGTCTTTCCTAGGAATAGAAGCCTGTTGATTAATAATAATGAAATTGCTTCAGAAAACTCCTGCACCCAATTAGCCTAGGAAAAATAGTTTGCTCATCTGGATAAACAGTTCTCCTTCTGAAAAATAATGTTTCTGTCAACAGCTTGCATATGAAACAACAATTTACGTATCAAAAGTCAGTCAATACTCTCATCTCGCTGTTATCCACCCCTAATATGTTATGACACAAAATTGGCTGAATCTTAATCAATTTTCTGCCTAGAAATATTTAACTACTTGAATAAGAGCTGTAACTTTGTAACTGTCTTTTCTTTGCACTATTCTTTCAGCTATCATTGAGACTCTTTTAGGAATATATCATTCCTACTAAAATAGAACTAAAAAATTTAACTTTGTTTAGCCAGTTGAATTTTTTGGTGATATTTAAAGGAGTTGGTAATTAACATTATGTTCATATCTACAAGCATGGTTAAATTTGCCAATATAGCAAGATAAGTAAATCAGAGAGAAAAGAGCAGCAATCAACTACTGTTGCTGTAAACTTCTCTATAAAAGGACAGAGTAATGCAATTTCTCTGCCATCTTCAATTTACTGTTGTATGAAGATGAATAATACCATTTAGTCACACTACCCCAAAATTTTATTTCTCCTCAAATATTTTAATACGCAATATATTCAGTGGTTTAGAATGGTAAAACAATAGAAAATATCCAAATATTCATCTGAGATAGCCACATAATTGGAATTAAAATTATCTACTGGATTTTTAAATTACTACTACTTATCTGCATAATTCATAAGTCACTGATTATATTTCTTTGTTTAATTCTTCACTTCCAAAATAAGTCAAAAATATCTCTTAGATTTTTATAATTTTGATTTCTGCTTTATATCAGACATTGTTCCAGGGAATGGAAGCATTCCAGTGGGCATACGAAATCATTGATGCACACAAAATCACTGAATCAATTAATGTATACAATATAATTTTGTCAAATTAATAAAATGACACAAATATGTAATGTTCTGTTGTTTTATTATCATTAATATTACCTTGATTCTGCTTTATAGAGTCAAAAGTGATTTTTAAATTAAATTATTAGCATATGTCAAAGCTAGAACTTCTTTGAAGCTGCAGTTCATCATTATGAATTTTTGTCAACATAAATTTAACAGGTTTATTTTTATTTAAACTGCATAAAATGCTGTGCTTTGAGATCATGAAAAATAAAGATAAAAGCTTATCACTGACCTCTTCTAAGACCCCTGCTAAAAATGTAAGCAGCCTGAGTTGTTTTAAAATCCAGAATTTTAGATGAATTGCACTTTTTAAATTGTAGTAAACTGTACTTAATATAAAATTTACATTTTTACCATTTTAAGTGTATGCCTCCGTAGAATTTGGTATATTCACATTGCCATGCAATGACTAGCACCACCCATCTCCAGAACATTTCCTCTCCCCCAGTTGAAAGCATGTAGCCATAGAACACTAATTCCCCATTCTCTTCTCCCCTGATTACCTGGAAATCATTCGTTTTGTTTCTGATTTTATGAATTTGACTACTGTGTATACCTCTTATAGGGGGATCATATACTATTCGTCCTTTTGGGACTCAGTTCATCCAGCACATCTTCAAAGTTGATCCATGTTTTAACATAAGTCAGAAGTTACTTCCTTTTTGAGGCTGAATAACATTCCATGATATGTAAATATTGCATCTTATTTATCTGTTTATCTGTTGATGGGCTCTCGAGTTGCTTCCACTTTTGGTTGTTTTCAATAATGCTGCTACAAGCAATGTAAACAAATATCTGTTCGCATCCCTACTTTCAATTCTTTTGGATATATACCGGAAGAGAACTGCTGGATGAAAAGGGCAGTTTGTTTCATTTTTTAAGGAATCACCGTTCCAATTTCCACAGGGGCTACACCATTTTACATCCCTACCGACACTGCACAATGATTCTAAATCTTCCACATCCTCAAAACCATCTGTTATTTCTATTTTTTTTTTAAAAAAAAAGCTTTCCTGAAGTATGTGAAGCAGTAATGCATGGTTTTCATTTGCACTTTGTCTAATTACTATGATGTTGAACATCTTTTCATTTGTGTGTTAAGAACTTGGAGCATTTTTGGTCATTTGATTTTTTGTTGCTGGTTTATGAGGGTTCTTTACACATTCTAGATGTTAATCCCTTATTAGATACATGCCTTGCAAATGTTTTCTCCCATTCTGCCAGCTGTCATTTCCCAATGTTGGCAGTGTCCTTTGATGAATATTTTTTTTCTAAATTTTTATGACATTTGACTTACCTATTTGTGGAGGAAATTACTTTCCTTATCTCTTCCTTATGAAATGCACAAGAGAGCCACTAATTTTCCTAGAATTTACTGTTTAAATTGCATAGGAGCTACACATTTTTTGAAAACCAATATTTAATGAACAAACTAAGGAGGA